TTGTATAATTGATTTAAAACAATTATTAGAAAAATAATTTTTATATGTGATTAATAACAACTTATGATCGACGTGTTAGTTTATGGAAATCAAATCAACAATTTGATATATGTCAATTAATTGATTGGTTAACATTTTCAGTATCATCATTTGCACCAGATGGAATAACTATACATAATAATAATAATAATAATTGGCAATCATATCCACCAAATTTAGCTTGTTTTATTGATCATAATTTATTAATGTATATTGGTTATGGAATAGAAAAATCTATACAAATAAATAATCTTGATACAAAACAAATTATTCGTACCATATCATTAAGTCAATGGTGTTCATGTTTTGATATATCAAATATTAACAATGATGAAAATGAAAATCGTTTGATAGTAATTAGTAAAAAAAGATCGTTTAGTACAATTAAAAGATTATACTCAGGAAATATTTCAGGATTTTATTGATAAAATTTCTTTGGAATGTACTCTTAAATTGGATGATTTGTTTCTTCTATATATTAATGTAGATGATAGTTGTCGTTTATTTGTATAGAATTAATTTGAAAATTAAAAAGCAAATTAAAACTTTAACTTTTTGTTATATCTTTAATTTCGAATGAGAAAATTAATTGTTAGACTAAACATTGCAAAATATTATGATTATTGGAATGCCGTTAAAGATATTCTTTTTCTATAAGGACAAGTAACATTCGTTGAGATTTGACTCATTTAACTCTAGGCTGATAAGATAGAGATATACATATAGGCACATCTAGATATTAACGTGCTCTAAGTAAAGTACCAGAATGATTTGGCATATAACAATGATTTGATTCACAAAACCAGCTTTTCCATAATATAAAACTTGATTTTTATATTTAGAAAGTAAAATCAATTTTCAATATGCTATACTTATCTAATTGAGTTCAGGTTATACGAATAGTGTTATTGCTTGTCCTACAGAAATTTTGTCAAGTTTTTCAATCATTGTACTGTTGTAACTATATTCATTGTCGTTTTTCTGCATACGTTTCTTAAAAACTTTGTTTTCAATTTTAAATGAAAATTGAGTACTTTGTATGAAAAATTCTTTTTATAACATATATTCATATATGGGGAATTCTGAAACTGTCTTTATGATGTGCGGTCAAAAATAGTATTATATTGATTTTAGAGCTTTTATGCTCAAATTTTCAATATTTTCAATAAAAACTTTGAGAGTCAGAATTTTTCATCACTCGTATTATTCTGTGTCTTCTTCATGTTCAGAATAAAACTTATGTTATATACGTATGTATCAGAGATGTCTGTGGTGGCGCAGGAAATGTTTCAAAATTACTATCGCGGCAGTACCATTTTCTTTTTCAGGAAAATTGTAAAGTTACATAGATTTATATCCGATTTGAATATCTACAAATCCAACGGTCAGAATCATGGTGAATCAGATTAATTCAATCTAACTATGCTAATTTGGCACAGTGACGATAGAGATTTTTAAAGAATTTTCTCTAGAATCTTCGCGGCAGCGGCAGATTTCTAGCAGTGATGGAAATATCTGGTGTATATATGTTGAATTATAAACATAAAATAGAAGAGGTGTGGATGGGCGTGATACAATAAAAGATTCACGCCAACGTTCAGACCCCACGCTCACACCCCACAATATTAACTATTGTATAGGGTGTGGGTGTGGGTATGAAGGTATAGGTATGGATCTGGACGTTGGTTTGGATATGGGTGCTAGTGTGTATGGGTATTGGTATGAGTACATCTCCAGAATCCTCTCTCACACCCATACCGACTCCTCGTCCGCGCCTACACTCACGCACACACATATACCCATATCTACACTCAAGGGAAAATTAGATTTGTGAGAATATTGTTTCTCGTAATTCAAAAGCAGATTCCATCGTGTGGTAGTGCGGAAGTTTGTCTTCGTAAACAAAAGCACTGATAAGTACGACAAGATCGTTCGCATATAGAACAAAAAGTTCTTCATCTTTTCATGTACAATGCTTTACTTTTAGCGTCCGTCTTGCTAAACACATATTCACATAAACCGTTTTGCATATGTGGAAAAACATGAAATCTGACTTGTACGACTTAGTAGGTGTTAATCTTGTGAGTTTGATGTTGATTTGAGAAATCTATTCGAGAAGCAAAGCCGACTGTTTTCTAGAGAATCTAATTCTCTATCGGATGTTTCTCTGTATCAACTGAATTTTTTTGTACAAATATTAATTTTTTTCTCTTGTCTGTAATCAAGCTTCTCGTGATCTTTACCTTGGCTGTTTTACTGTTGCAATGTGCAGTCCTTTCCAATAGTTACACAATCTCATACCGTTTCATGAAATAGAAACACCGTTTAGTGATTCTGCTTTGTTTGTTTAGTGATCCTTTTAAGTGTAAGCATACTGCTGGAAGAAAACGAATCTTCGTGATTAGGAAAATTTTTTTCGGCGTTTACGTTCGTTGTTTTATTGGCAAAAGTAATGTTTCAATTTATTCATCATTTTGTTAGTATAATGACATCACTGCATGTGAAAGAATGTTTGAAGTGTGTGAGATTGTTTATATTGTTGACAAAAATTTCACCATCAATCGAATTTATATATGCGGCCTTGTTTCTTATTGCAGCTCAATGCTAATTATATCGAAGAATTTTTACTTAAGCTTCATAACAGAATTATCTTCTCTGGTAAAATAAACGAACAAAGTAAGTATGATCAAAACTGTTTATAGCACAATAGAAGAGATCAGTGTATGGTCTCGACGAGATACTGAACTTCAGGTCGGCATCTGACACCTAAGTAATTAACTATTATTTGCTCTGAAGTAGTAATATTCACCATATTAGCTACCTTTGACTGAAAAATCTAATTCAATGAACTGTATAGTTATCTATCAACGATGGTGATGGAAAGTTGTGAGTTCTTTTTTTGTGTGAAAAGTTGGTGTGGCTGTGGTTGTGGTCTAGCCTGTGGATGAGTGAGAGTGGTAATCATCTCTCGATCAACATCCACACTGATGCTCACACCCATATTTTCGTTATCTAAAAGCTTTAAAATGCATGTATAACACTAGCACTAGACTTTATCGTCTGAGATTGAAATTAAAAGCAAAGATTATGTATTGATTTAAGATAAATAAAGTTTACTGTATTCTAACGATGGAAAGCTTGATATAGATCTATCTTTATCGAACAATGTCATTCGAATATAAATCTTAATGCAATATTTTTCTACTGACATATTAAAAGTATATCGTCTTGAAATGATGATTTGAAAAAAAGGAAAATAATACTGACAAAGTGTGTTATCGATATATTTGTCTTTTATACTCTAAGCTTACCTTGTACCACCTGCATCAGCTTTATCACAAATGACATCAACCTTGTTGTCTTTTGTATTTCGATTGAAAACAAATCAATTTTCTTCTTCGACTACTCAAACTAAATGACGAAATTGAAATAAGAATTCTCATATTTTCAAAAAGAACTACAAAGAAAATCAATTCAATATTTTTTTCATGATTAAAAACAAAACCATCGATTATAATAAAATCTATTTTGTAATATTCGTTAAGAAGAAATTTATTGAATGTTAATAGGATAATCTTCTGGTGGAACAAGATCGAAACCTCCACCATTAAAAACTGGAATGAGCATTGTTGGTTCTGTATTTTTAACACGAGTTATTGTTAATGTTTGTCTTTCATGAAAGTTTTCGATATTAAAAATTAATTCTTTTGGTGATAATGTAAAACAATCAGTGCAGTTAATTGATTTCCATTGAATAATGACAGTATCATTTCCATCTATTCGATGTGGTGGCGTAGCAAGCCAAACTTGAATCTTTACACTTTCATGTAAACTTAAACTTATTGTTTGTGGATTATAGAAAACTTCGAGATCATCATCTCGACAAATGTGAAACCACTCTTTTGGTATTGAATTAAAATATTTCTCATCTGGTTTTCCTATTGATTTAATTGTAAAATATGTTGTTACTCGAATAACTCTCCATTGAGCACGACGAACTTCAACTAATCGACGAGGAATATCAGTATTTTTCTTGAAATAAATTTCTTGGCATGGATATTTATCTCCAGTATCAATTGAACATCTTTCATTTGAATACCAATAATCTTCATCTAAAGAAGAATCATTTGAATGAATCATTTCATAATTAAATATCATATAATTTTTTATTTCAAATGAGCTCCCATTAATCCAATGTGATGGAAAGAAATTAAGCATATTTCCACCATATTTCCAATATGTTCCATACATACAAGAATCTATTGGAGAAATAGTAGATAATTGAACATAATATTTTGATTGTGGTGAATCAGGGACTGCATATGGAAAATGCTGCATCACGAAAGCAGTTTGTCTTAATGAAGGAGTAAAAGGATATGTTACATAAGCTCGTTGATTTATTTCATCAATTGCAAATATTGTTAGATCATTGTCAGGAGAAAATACAATCTGAGGTGGGAAATATGGTTGCGCACATTCTCCCATAAAATAACATGTAAAAAAAGATACGAAGTACCACAAGATTTTCATCATCTAAAACAGAAACTGGGCGCAATGGAACACTTTGTTTTTTCATCAAATAGTCTTATCAGTAAAAAACAGAAAGTACTTAACACTTTCACGCTTATTTTAAAAAAACTGCAAGTTTTTCTCGAAAAAAAAACGAAGGATGCCATTCTGTAGTCGGTGATGTAACGCTTAAAATGAGCCTTTTAATGGGAGATCTATCAAAGAATGAAAGATTATTATGGCTATCATAAGGAAGTACTTAGAAGTACGTGCGCCCGATTTCTGATCTAACAATTGTAAAGAATATGAAAATTTGTTATTGAAAGTTAAATGCTAAGACATATTGTTTTATTTCTTCATCTGAATATCGAATTAATAAAATATTTGTTTTCAATCAATATCAACCTGTATTTACCGATTCGAAAGTGATACTGGTCCATATATTTTTTTTCGATTTCTGCTGATACGCAAAAAATAAATCTTCATGCAATCATGAGTTGATACAAAAAAATAGCACTTGTAATAGTTTTTGTTTTTATATTATCTGAAGGTTTTTTAATAGATATATTTCTATATTATTATCAAAAAACATTAGAAAAAAAGAATCAATTTACAAAAAATAAATTACTAATACTAGAGTATAAACATAGACTTTTTTGTTAAGAAAGAAAAATTCGTACACTCGTTCTTCATTCAAATCATTTTGTCGATCAATTTGTTTTCGATCAGTTTTTAATGGAAAGAAAACAATTTCATCTCTTAATGCATCTTCAATCATTTTGATCTTCTTTCTTAACATTTCATCAGCAATTATTTCTACAAAAAATATACAAAATCAACTTATAAAAGAAAATTATTTTATTAAATTTATTAAGTTTTGATCAATTTTTATGTTAAATATATTTCTCGCAAAATCATTCAATTTTAAATTTACGTGACAAAACATAAATCATTAAAATACATGTGATCTTTTAAAACAGTTTTTCCACCCTCAGTTCTTCGCCTTAAATATTATTTCAATATAGTGGGATAGATTATGGTTTTGGATAATCAATGCTGTCATCAAAGAGCAAAAAATATCAGAGCTTGTCAAGTAGTTTAACTCCTTTTCT